ATCATATTTGCTGTTTCTTGCTCTGTGGCAGGAAATTAGTACAATAAATATTAATATACATAAAAAGCTTGTTACATTATTCTAAAGTGAATATTAAGGTTTCATTCAATTTTGGTTATTTTAAAATACAGAAATCTGCACCCAATCTACTGTATTTGTGTTTCCATCATTTTGATCTCTGTATCTCTTTGATTTTTGTAAATTCAAAGTATTGACTCAGAATGACACTGTTGTCTGAGCTGGTACTATTGTGAGTGTTGCGTGCACTTTACTGTTTTGCCTTGAAAGTGAGTGTGCTGAACTGATATATGGCAGTGAGTAAATAATGTAGAAAATAAAAAAGACACCCACGAGAAACTACCAAAACCACATGGAACTGATCCTGATATTTCTCACATGTCAGCAAAGAGTCTGTAATCTTGACAGAGCATTAATCTAAGGTAAATGTTGTGTAAAGATTAGAAACTGCCATGGAGCTTAACATTAAATTATCTGACAGTTCGTGGTCGGAAACGAGTGTATAATGAGATCAACATGACAGTATAAGCCATCAGGAAAAACAAATCCCTCAGTACAAAATACCTTCTTTCCTTCCATCATCGTGACTAAATATGCACCATGGACTAGACCAGCTTCCCATGCTCATGCAGAGTGAGCGATAAGTGCTCTAAACGCCTGAACTTTAAACCTTTCAAAAGGTCCAAATCCCTGCAATCTTCTCTGAGCAGGTCTTAATGTGGTTGGACTGTGTTTTAAGTACCTCCAGGATAAAACTCTTAATGGTCATCATAAACTGTAATCCAGAGAGATTCTGCTCTTAATCCAGGATCGAGGTCCAGGAAACTGTTCAGTGCAAGTTCAGTGCAATCCCATTTTATGGAGTGATAGCTCCCCTGTTCTGACTTCACTGCATACAGAGCTGTCTGTTCGGTTATTATGTATGACTCATCATCATCGGTGCATCATCCTGTGTTAAAGTACCATGGAAAATTAAAGAGACAGATAGTTGAAAGTAGCCATTTAATATAAAAAGCGTGTTTTTTCGGGTTTTATGAATTTCATGACTTATTTGGTTACTTGAGTTAGAGCCTTAAAAGTGGCTAGCCAGAGCCATTCACCAGGCGCCTTGTACAATATGCAATACTTACACACAAATTGGCCTAAAACCTGTGGCAGACTAGATAATATTATAATGCTTCATGCCCGTAGGCATTTTTTCATTTTAACTTTCCTAACACCCAAAATTTGAAAATAGTAGTATATATTAGTGTAGTATAAGTAGATTTTCAACGCATTCAGTCACGGTGAAAGAAAAAGAGGAGGAACTGCGAATATTTTGATTGATGTAGACTCCAAATGTGCCTTATGTATGACTAATGAGATCAAATATCATTAATTTGTCAAATTGCCAAACTACACACTCATGGTAAAATCTGCCTGTGTCCTCCACCCAAGTGCTCGAACATGAATCATACCATACTGACAACGATTATATACTTCCACTAGACCCTAATTCCCACTAGTGCAAAAGAAGTACATAACCCACTAATGCAAATGGTGAGTTTACAAAATATGATGCGTTGCTAGCATATAAACCACCTAAAAATAGACAAATTAGCAGCAGTGGAAGGACAAGAAGGTCTAAAGGAACAACAGATTTTAAGCAAGCATGGACAAGGAAGGCCGTGTAATAAAGATCCAAAGCCAACTACAACAGCTATCACAATCAAATGCTGCTTGTACATTAATGCATCAGGAGTAATGGTGCAATATTATGAACTGACACATTTAACACATTGAACTAGGGCCGCAACTAACAATTGATTTCATTATCAGTTAATCTACTGACTATTTTCTTGATTAAATTATTAATCGTTTGGTCAGTAAAATGTCAGAGTTGTGAAAAATGCTCATTACTGTTTCCCAGAATCCAAGGTGATTGTCTTCAATTGACGTGTTTTGTCGGACCAGCAGTAAAAAGATATTTACTTTTAAATTATTTTAAAATAGAGAAAAGCAGCAAATCTCACATGTGACAAACTGGAAACAACAAATCCATTGGGTTTTTGTTCAAAAACTGCTTAACAATTCATAATTTATATTAAAAAAACAACTGCATTATTTTCCGTTGATCAAATAATCCATTATCGCAGCTCTACATTAAACAAACACATTCTGCAGAATGAGTACTTTTACTTCTGATACATAGATACATTTTTAGATACTTAAGTTTTTTTACACAGCTATATTAGTCATTTTACTTAAGGGCCTTCCACCACGGCTAATTCTACAGGAAGTACACAGTATTCAACCTTCATCACATATGTTTTATGGAATGACACTTTACAGGAAGGTCTGGAATGTATCATTATACCATAAAGTATACATCCTTGTCACTTATGGATGTGAAATTGAACAGAAAGTGCCTTGCGTACTTTATAGTTCTTACACATAATAAGTAAAAGAGTGGTATGCACTCTTAAAGTGTGTTGTAAAGAGATGCAAGTGGCTTTTTGTCGCTGACAGCAGCAAGTACAGCGGGTGATTCTTAGGTCAAGGTGATTTGTCATGTCAAGCAACTTTTCACCTCGAGTTCTATGGTTGTTCACCAGCCTGACAGCCTTCAGCAACGCCACACTGTTTCCTGGCTCCACTTCATAATTGATGAGGAAGCAAGGAATATGGGATTTGATCCAGAGTGAGGGTGCCTTTTAGGCCTAGGACAGATGTACAGAGGTGCTGGTTTTAACTCTTCATCTGAAATGGCTATGCCACTGAGGACTGGTGGAGAGCTACAGTAGCTCAGTGGCAAGCTGAAAGACAATAATAAACCATTTAGGATGACTGACTCTTCAGAGATGATGTATGGCAGCAGGTTACATTAGGAAAGACATAGCATTTTAATATACGCTATCATGATGTAAATTCCCACAACCCCCTGTAATTATGTGACTACAGTGGGTACAGGAGGTAGGTGATAATATATCAAGCTTAGATAGTTAAATTGTGAGAATCTGGGTTTTGGACTGTTGTTCAGAGAAAACAAGCCATTAAAAGACATTACCTTGGAGTCAGAGAAATTGGGATGGGCATTTTTTTCTACTCGTTGACATTTCATAGACTATTACTTGATCAATTGAGATTCTATTTTTAATCTATAATTAAAATAATGCTACTTGTTAGTCCTAGTTGCTTATTGATTTCTTTGTTTTGTTGAAAAAGCATTTTTTATATGTTGTCTTATACCTAAGCTGTGGTATAATATAATATTAATGTTGCAGTTATGTTCACAATCTACATAGTTGTATGATCTGTCTGTGTAAAGCCAGTGCTTAACGCAGCCTCCAACATAAGAATGATTAAAGTTCTTTCCGAAACTTTCTCAAATCTAATTTATTTTTTGCCCTCTCACTCTTTCTCCTGTTTTTTTTCCTTTCCTCTTCCGACAATTTGTCTCCCCTGTTCAAATGAAAGGGACAGCATGCTTCAAGCTAAAAAGAAGATAAAAATGAATAATATCACTGCTGAACTCTGGAGACGTTTTTAAAACTGATGTTTGAACCTGTGAAAAACGACAGTTTTATATAATTTGTGTCAAATTGCTGGTGAAGTAAATTGATTTCGGAGGGGTCAGCAACTTGCTAGGCTGGCACTGTCATTGCGAATTATCAGTAATTGAATGAAATTAGTAGGTGAATAAGTGTTGCAAAATGCCGTAATATAGTTTCTAATTTTAAAGACAAATCTGTGTAGGACTACAACATGTTTATGTGTTTCACAATTGTTTAAAAAGTATGAATAAATGTTTTTGATGGATATAGCTGGTGAAAGACAACTTTAAACTTTGAAATCTTAGATTTGTACTTACATCTTTATGTCCACTGTTTTCCATGAAACCCACTCTGTAAAGTACTCTATATATATTTTTAAATTATAAAATTTTAATGTAAATAAGTAGTTTTATCATACAGTTTTTGCATCTAAAGTAATGCAATGTACCACCAACAGCAAACAGCTTTGGTTATATAATTTTTTACAGTTTATACATCCATAAAAAACTGTTGCATAACTTGCTGTGTTTAACATGGAATTAGAAAATATATCCAATAAGCCTTTAAAAACACATTTCTAATCTCCAGTATTTTAAAATGCTCTAAAAACATATTTATTATTCAGAATCAATCAACCAATTCCTCAAACTAAACCAAAAAACAACAGTATTAATATCAAATTAACTGTCACCATGGAAAATGTCAAACATTTTCTGTTACACGTTGTCGAAATAGTAATAGCGAGAAACACTGCAACAAAACCACATTAGAAATCTCCTGGGAGATGTGTTTTAATCTTTCCTCTTCTGCAAAGCTTTTCTCTCTGCGGGTGATTCCACTGAAATGTTGAGCATACGGTGTATTGTGTACTGCGTATTGTGCACTCTACCAGTAAAAACATGTCTCACACCGGCCTCACACCCGGAGATCAAATGTATCCAAAAAAAGATCTTCATATGGAATCAAAATGCTTGTTCTTGATTTCTGAGCATTAAATAAATAATTCAGATGCAAACTCATTCTAAAAGCACTATGATGTAAAGTCCACAGAGGATATTTCAAAGACATAGGAACGCATAAAAGTATGAATAGTTCAGGTAAATCAAAAATGTGTACAGACCATTGGTTGTAATTTGGTACAGTGGGTACAGCAAAAAAAAAAATAGCATCAATATGAATGATTAACTATTTTTAAACACTGTTTCTCATTTGTATTAACATTAATTAGAATAATCACATAGAATGGACTAGAATAATTTATGGCCTCATGAAAACACCCCCACTGTTTAAGAAGAGGCATTGCAAGCAGTTCAAATCTTACAGGATACTTACAATGCTTATTACTTTGTCTTAAAGCAAAATACTACACTGCTCAACAGCACATGATCACTCTACAGCCGAGCAACACAACAACAGTCAAAACAGCTATGAGAAGAAAATTAAACTCACCTTAGCGACCCTGTTGGCAACCTCCCGACCCACCATTAGCCCCTGGACAAACGTCCGTGCAGCGATAAAGGCCCTGGTGACCTGGGCCTTCAGCTTCCTGGGCACATCTCCAAAAGGCTTTAGCTGATCTGTATATTTACTGACGCACTCTAGGTAGTCATCTGTGAAGTGGTACTGGGAGTTGAGTAACTGGAACATGCGCTCCAGTAGCCTGGACCAGAAGTCATTCAGCATCTCCTCCAGGTTGACATTGCCCCCTGTGTAGTAGCGCTTTAGCTCAGTAAACAGGTCCTGGAACACCTCTGAGTTCTGCATATACAGCTTCCCGTACGTCCGTGTGAACATGCTGTTGAGAGACTTCTCAGAATTGTCCAGCAGCTCCAAGAAAAACTCTAGATAGATTGATAGTTTAGGGGAAAGAAGAGAGGGGGATAAAACAGTCAAATGGGTCATTATGCACATATATACAGTATCAGTTGCCTTTTCCTACATTGTAAGCCAGACAAAAGGCTTCAAAAGCATGAGACAAAGGTATAATGTAGTCAGGGTACTGTTGTTGTACTTTAATGTCTCATTTTATGGCTATTTTAGAGCAATGTATAGCAGCCAGCAGGTACTTGATTATGTGAAGAAAGTCAGTCCAAAGCATTAATAATTTAAAAGCAGAAATAATGGGCCACAAGGACTATGAATGATTAATGTATAGGTTCTGATTGCATACTGTAACAAAATATTCATAAGATTTAGACACAGACACTAGTATACATTATCATCCTGAGCACCCACCATTATTCCCAGATGCATTAGTTTCTCACTGAAACAATTTATTTGTCCACCACGGCAGCTAGCCTATGAGCCTATAATTGAATATTGTGTAACAGTATATTGAAAGAAGCTTCATTCGCATTGAATTTTCTGAAGAGTATGTTAAACGTAAGACACAAAATTTCCCCGTGAGACAAGCACATTATTTCTATTTTTGTATTTGCCATTGATTCAGTACACACACCTTACACTATGACAGCGACATTCAAAAATAAGACTTTATAACAAATGTCTTTTAACTTTAAAACTGAACAGAAATTTTTATTTTCTCACTTTCAATGATTAAAAAATAAATCATATAAATACACACACATGATCTAATGATTCTGCAGTCAGATTTTTTTTTTTTAAAGAGGATAAAAACACTTTTATATCATATATGAGTCTAAGCTTCAAGCCTGTGGGTGGGCTTTTCCCAGGGCAACAGCTGACTGACATTTGAGAGCTGGCATTAGGAGACACATGCTGATGGTGCGCTTACAGACTGCGACATCAGACTTTATAGCTCACGAAAGTTGTTCCTTCTTTTTTCAATAAACCCAAATAGTGTAATGTACTGTTAGCGTTTTAAGATGCATGTCCATTTACAGCTTTCAGCTTTTGAGAAGATCCTTCATTTGTAGTCCACTCAGTCAGTGGAAGCTAGTTAACCTAGCTTGCTAACATTTCTACCAACTCCTACTGGATGTTCATTTCTGTTCATGTTGGGTCTGTCCCATTAGGACACATTAGTCAGTGTTTCCCACAGGATGACAGTTTAAGTGAAGCGGGGGCGGCTACACTGGACACTAAGCCACACTTAGATAACTGTGTCTCTCTCTCTCTCAGACACACACACACACACACACACACACACACACACACACTGGCTCCCGGCCTCTCTCTATTTCTCTCTCCCTGTACGTGTCTCTGTTGACTTACTTCACCAGTATGTTTGATAAAGTCGCCCAAACGCACAACTCGCGTTTTGATTTCGTTTTTTAAAATAGCAGGTGAGCTGCGTGTGGAGGAGGCTCATTGTTAATGACGTAGCCTACCAAAACAATAAAAAACAACATGGTAAAGAATGACATTGGCATCAACTGGTGTATTCACTGCTGTTCACGCGTGCTTTACCTGGTCTGTGCTGGTAAATACACTGTATCTGTCATTAGACGGTACAGTAAGGTAAGAGTGAGGGAAAATTGTCCACTAGTTAATCGATCGCAGATACATCATTTTCTATTGTAAATGACATCAAACACAGACATCAAAATGTACAAGTACATCAAATTAATTCAAATGTAACATTCACAGTAATTATGTTATTGTTTCTTTGTCATCTGCCCAAGTGGCTTTCTTCCATGTGAGCACCTGATCTCTTGAGCATTAACTGAGCTATCAGAGATAAAAAAAAATATAAGAAAAAAAGCAGCATTAGCTTGGGAGTCTCACTGAAGCCTTGCTAATGGGATCCCATGTTCCAGTAGTGCAGAGTGCACAGGCGTAAATGCTAGGCAGATCATAACACATCTCTCCATGCACAAATGTCAAATATTTCTCCTCCCTTCTTTGCAAACAAACACGCTGTAGACATTTCACGTCTCATGCTTACTAATAAACCATATGGGACCTCTTCTCCTGGTTGTTTATTCTGGCTGACATTTCTTTGCATGGTTGATGATAGCAGTCACACCCCTACATGGCGGTCATATCTACTTCTAAGAATACATTTCCCTCCTGTGATATGACTAAAGTATAAGACATGATGAATCACTGTACAATCAATGTTCATGCAGTACATTTATTTTTTTGTAGTGAAGAAAGGCTGTGCTGTGGGTTAACAAGGAAAGATCTCAGACATGTTCAAAACACGGAACATGTTACACAAAGTACAAACAGCAGAAGATCAGAAGACGATTATTTACTTTTATATGTATATAATATTATATTTCATTTTGATTCAGTTGGATTTGAAATAAATTGTGTAGGCTTTTGGAGTACATTTAAGATACAGTGCAAACGGCCCATTAATTCATTTACATGATTAAATTCAAATAAAGTACTTAAATAATTTTTCATTTAATTTTAACATTCAGCTTTCTTTATTATACTGGTTAACAGAAATATGCAATTATAGAATTATTCATAACTTCAGACTAAATCATAAACTTAATAAAAACCCCGGTGGTTATCAACAACAACAAAATAACAAAATATAAAGATCATTCAGACTACCATGCCTTACATTACACTCTTCTTCTAAATGCATAACTCATTGTTATCAAACCATATTTAGGCAAAAGGGTTTAAGAAAAGGCAATGTTTAAATGAACTAGAATAATACAAACACTTTGTGCAGCTGGGTTGAAGAGTCAAACTCTGAACAATTTGGCATCACTGAGACTAAAATCCTGAACCCTGCATGATAATCCACTGTTCTGCAAAGTGTGCTAAACCGCCAGTGCGCCTGAGAAGCTTACTGCAATATATTATATCTGCATATCCTCTGGCTCTACATGCTAATGTTATCAGTGGTTTGCTTGCCTACTACTTCCAAGATATAGCTCATGTTAAAATGCTCTGGAATCCAGTTTTGTATTCCTCAACTTTATTTGCAACTTGTTTAGCTAATTGTTTTTTTCTTTCTATTGAAATGGCACACCATGTCCACACCTAAAACAGGCAGGAGACCAGTCCCTAGTCACTCACTCTAGTTTCTTTGCAACAAAGTGACCTGCCATTACACCTACATTTGTTTAAATATTAAGAGCCTGCAGGGCTTTTTTCATTCCATTTTTCCAATTAGACCCAAATCAAGGACATGTAAGCCCATGTGTATTGTGCATGCAATATTGTGCATATGTCTGTGTTACCATTTAAATATGTATCACCCATTGTGAGAGCTATCACAAAAAATTAGCAACGCAATATTATTCAAATTATTTACTATAGTTATGTGTAAAAGACTAAACTGTATTCCTAAATACTTGGAAAGAGTTGAGAGTGATGTGTTTTCTTTTATGTTCTTATGTTAGATAACCATACTTAATATGTGATAAGCTTTCACATTTTGAAATGACATCAATGACAGGAGTGCAATTACAGTCCTCTGTGTAGTACTGGAAATAAAGAAAAAGTATTGTTACCAATATATGAATACACCGTCCATATGACTGTGGAATGTTGAAAAAAAGATTGGGACAGTGTTTCATGTCTGTATAGTTCATGCAAAGTCCATTACAATTATTTTCATGAAAAAAAATGATGAAGAAAAATAGACGGAGATAAAATAAATTGAGCTGGGGTGACAATTCTGAACTCATGAAACAATCTTTTATACAGGATAATTGAGTCTCAGGCAATGACACGAGTTATTATGAACAGATCACAAACTATTCTGCACATTATTGTGAAGTTATTGTGAAAGACTGCTAATAGGTAATAATTAGATAACTTAACCTGATAAAATAACTGGACTACATAAATGACTTTGATAAGACAGTGTATAAGCCAGTGACAATTTACACCACACAATGACATTCAGGGTTTCTATGATTATATGTGACTGACTAAAACTGGGTCTGGTAATTTTGTTGGACTGTGGTTATTCGTTGTCCAATTAAAAATATGTTAAACAACTAACTTCACTTGTCTCCTGTAATTCAGGCCTCTGTGGACTAAAAACCAGAAAACCAGTCCCAGGATTTTGCATCCACATAGCATCATGATAGATCTTCACAACAATGTACAAGGTTACACTATTTGAGAATGTCGTTCTTAGCCCCACTAGCGAGAGTGCTGAGCTCTGACAATGGCAATGTTGGTTGACCCAGTTGGGTGTGAGGAACAGCACCTCCTCTGGAGGTCACATGAATGCCTTTTAGTTTTCTATTTAAAAGGAATACAATTTACAAAAACTGCTTTTACAAACGAGTCTACTTTTAAAAAAGTTACTTATGAAAGATTACAATAACTGTAAGTACAAATCAGTTTGAACAAGATACCAGTTTAAAGTTATATAATATAAACCCAAGAGTAAGTAAACTATACTGAAATAACCCACTACTCTTCTCTTGTGTAACTGTAGAGTTTGTATGTGATTTCAAGGCCTTTTACCTGGAAAACAGGCTGTACTGAGAGTTTCAGATAGCAGCTACAGCTTGCAAACTCATGAAGAGTGAATTTCTCTCTGCTGGCCAAAATATATATTTGGCCAGGGAATTATCATTGAGAGTTATTGACCTTGGATAACATTCAGCTATCCGGCCTTTAGGGTCTTAATACTTGGAAACATGTCGATACATGGGTGTATGCTTCCTGACACAATACATTTAGGAATCATACTACCATCCAACATCTCAAATCCAAAACTCTCGAATAATAAATGATGTATATATCAAAAATAAGTTGGAAAATACTTTATGGATGTAGCAAGAAAATGGAAAAGCAAGCCAACAAACTTAAGAGGGCTTGTAAGAGCTAAACTAAATGTGAAAGACAGGCATATTCCGTGAAGTTCCACTGTATTTTTTACTGATGTATCTCTTACATAACATATTGGGCTCTGTGACAGGTCACAGAAAAC